AACTGCCTTGGCCGGAAAACTTTTGGAGGAGGGGGGTGCGGGGCCGGAGCTGCAGACTTTCGCTTGTCCACTGCCTTTCCCACTGTGCTTGCAGGCAGGTGGTAGTGGTGTTGGAGACCAGGCTGTGGGGGTGCTGTGGTGGGGCAAATCTGTCCAGGGGGGAGAGGCCTAGCAGCAATAGGAATGGGGGCTGGCAAGTTCATACCCTGAAGCAGGATGGCACATTCTTGCCTCTTCAGCCGCTTGTTGTGCCACTGAATTTATGTCGTTTGATTCACTTCAAACAATTGCAAGGTGGTATTTTGCATCACAGTCCTATTGCCCAGGACCAGCTGCCGGATCTTGCTGTAGTCCCTCAGAATTAGAGTCCATCTTGTTACGCCATGATTTCCCAATTTTTTAGGGCTCCTGTGAATATCACACAGTTTAGACTCTACCAGGCGGCAACAGTCTGGCCACTGGGCAGGGAATCCTGTTGACCCAAGGAGGCAACGGGTCATGCTGTCCACACCAGGCGTGAATTCAGGCTTGGTTTTTGAGCACCTGAACCATCCTGTTGTAAGACGCACCTGGTGCCGGGCAGCGTACGCCACTCTCTGCTGGTCATAAGGAAGCAGGCTTTGCCATAGGGCAATGATGGTACTGGCCTGCTGGTGGCTCAGAGTTTGCCCAGTTTCCACCCTAAGCCCCACCAAGTAGCCTGCCAGGTTGTCCACTCTATCTATCCCTGGTACACTGTGCTCATCCACAGCCTGGTAAAATATAAGACTGAATCAATGCTAAAAAAAAGATACAATATCACAGGCATTGTGCTATACAAATAATACTACTTGTACTGTTATTATTAAGAATAGTTACCAGTTTTTGCTTAGGTGCTGCTGTAGTGGTGTTAGGAGACCCAGTCTGGACAGAGTGCTGGCTAAGCTGGTCATGGCGGGTGATGAGACAGGGGACAGGTCCAGCACCTCAATAGTGGGATCCAGGTTGAAGTCCAAACAAGCCCTCGTCCTCCAACTCCTCCTCCGTGCCCACATCCTCCAACATCTGATCTGTCGCCTCAGAGTCAGGATCCACGTCCTGCATGGCCTGCCCTGTTTGGCGGTACAGGTAATCTATACCTATGACTTCACCTGGGACAGACAGAAGAATACAGTAGAGGGGAAATCAGTTTTCAGAAAATTAATATAAATATTCTATTTTTATGAATATAAAAAGCAATTTAAAGCTAAAACTCACCAGTATAGACAGATGGTAGCTGAAAAGATGGCACAAGCTGTCTTCCAAGCACCTTAACACTGTGGGTGTTGACACAGTGCACCAGGTCCCCAGAGTAGCTTAACAGGGATTGAGGTTTGCCTGCCAGAGATGCTATCTTACGGTCCTGATTCCACCTGTTCAGGCCTTCCAGGAGGTACAGCTGGAAATTCAAGCTGTTGGCACTTGTTCCTTTAGATAAGATCAATAACTTTAAGTTAATTTGTTGTGCTTTGCTATTTGAAAGACGTTCATCGTGTCACCATTAATATTTCTGATTAATAATGATTTATACTGACCTGGAATGAACCTGTTCAGATGGAGATGAAAGGACTCCAGTGATGTGGAGCCCCTTGCACATCTGTAGTTTGGCAGCACAATACCCTTTTTGGTGGTGGTGCCAGTCTGTGTGTAGAGGAGCACACCTGGTTCGTCCTGAATGCACTTTACGTGCCTCTTCTGGACTTGCCCGATGTGCTGCATCCTCTCCTGGTCCAAGAGAGGGACACCAAGAAGGTCTCGGCCCTTAACCCCGATCATCAAGATGGTCTGCTGCTCTCCTCTTGTCCGCCTTCGGCAGTGCAGGGCCAATTCCTCCTTGGTGATTCATTGGTCCACCATAGTGTCGGTGATGCCAGGGACACCTTCATGTCTCAGCTGCTCCCTCTTGGCCTGCCTCAGCAGAGACACATCCCCACTGTCCCATTCAAAAATACAGCACGACATGCGTGCCATGAAAATGGGGTAAAGAGGATGTGCATCCTTAGTGCACCCAGCTGCCAGTCGCCGCATAAAGTGGTAGATGTCCAGCTTCACCACCAAGTCTGGCCACCCACCAAATCGCTGCTTGAGCTTGGTCTGCCCATAGTGGCGCAATATTTACTGCCCAGTTTGTCAGGCAGTAGGTCACTTTAAATTAAAATGCCAGTCCTTTACCTAAACCTTATGGCTGAAAAGAAGGTCAGGTCTTGTTTCCAATTCACAAAACACATCCCTGGAGTTTGCACATGAAATACAGCCTTGCAGGGCATCCCTCCGCAAAACAACAAACAGCGGCTTTGTTTCAAACGTTAAAAAAATGACCTTTTACAAACATAAAATATAAAAATATTCATGACGCTTACTTATCGTAATCCAAGTTTCAAAAGTCAGAACATGCCAAATTGACCTGAAAGTCGTCATTACACCCATGGTGTTTAAAGCAGAAATCTTCAAAACTGGTTAAGCCTTCTTAGCTGGGAGGCTGCGTTGACGTACACACTGTTTTGATCTGTGGGTGTGGGTTTGCTTGACCACAGTGCAGAAGCTAAGAAGCCTGAAGGATTCTTCAGTTGTTTTTTGCATTTAAAACATAGTCACTATTTCCCTGCAGTTGTTTGGGAAAAATGCTACAACCACTGATTTCTGGGTGGAAAACTCCCAGCAGAGTTCATTTAAAATGAACTATAAAACTTACAAATCCTACTTTTTACGTAAGAACCCTTTTCAGTATAGTTTCTCTCTGTGTGTGTCCGCCTCCAGAAGCAGCCCAAAAAGATCCAGATGATTACTGGCAGTTGGAGAAGGATTCTGATTTTCATGCCTTTTCCTGCTGTGTGTGAAGCCCTCTGTCAAACAGATTCAAGCTGACCTTTTGGGTAATGTTTTAATTTACTTAATAATACACTGTATATCCCAGGGATTCTTAATTAAAACTAGAAACTGTAATCGCTTTGTCCAGAAATGTTATCAGAACCCTACTTATACCAGAGCAGAGCCCCCCAAGGGTTAGGAGAATGAGAAGAAAGACCACAAACTCCCCATACCCAGCTCCAAAACAGCACAATTTGTTGGCTTCTCCATGCCCATTTCAAAGGTGATCAATCTTTGACCATCATTTTGATGGGAAATGCTAACAGACACACCGTTGACACACCTTGGAGAAGGTACCATCTTTAGTTTTCAGTTCCCTCCCTGGGGGGCCTGCCTAAAGAACCTGTTTTGTGTTTCCCACGACATTTTAAATCTTTACCTGTATCTATAATTGTATTGCTTATGTTTCAGTTGAGGATCATTGTCACAGTAATTTTTGAAGATCATCAATTTTGGTGTCTGATCAAAAATCTTTGTTAAAATACGGTAATTAATTCCCTACAGAGAGAGCTTTAGGATTGTCCCTTTATTGAAGGTGAATTGAAAATCGATAATTATTTGGAAAAACCTGTAAAATAACAGTAATTTTCTATGAATAAACCATTTTAATTTTTTGTAAAATTTAAATGTTTTTACACATTATTTGAATTAGGGTATTTTTACCTTTAATTTTACATAACATCAAAGGCCAAGTGACGTATGGGCCTTTATAAATTACAAATTCCTCTAAATAACACACTTCAGTGTGGCATGTGGCTGTTTGGGATTACTGCCTTGTTGTTTGACCCCTGCTCTGGCTTTCCTGATTGGATTTGTTTTGTTTTTCCTTTGTTGTTGTTTTAACCATTTATTTTTATAATTTTGTTTCCAAATACCATCAAGGAATGAAGGCCATCTGAAAACAATTGGATTAGTTTGCTTGTGTGGACCTGACCTTGCTGTGTACGGAGAAACCCATTAAAGACCTTGTGATTCTCCATACCTATCGCTTTCTGCGCCCTAAAAGCCTGGTTGTCTCAAAGATTGTGCACACAGCATATGTAGCAAAGTATGCAGATGGTCTGACCGAGGCTGCCACTGGGACCTCATTAAACCCAAGTTTTTAGCTCATACAGTGCAATACCACCAAAAACACAC